CTCTCTACCCACCCCACCCCCCACCATCTGTCTCTGGATCTATTCTTGTTCATCAAATTATGTTGATCATTATATCCCACATATGAGTGAGATCATGTGATATTTATCTTTCTCCGACTAGCTTATTTTGCTTAGCATGATGCTCTCCAGGTCCATCCTTGTGTTGCAAATGGTAAGAGTTCTTTCTTTTTTTACCACAGCGTAGTCTTCCATTGTATAATGTGCTACAGTTTTTTAATCCACTCATTTGCTGATGGGCACTTAGGCTGTTTCCAAGTCTTAGCTATGGTGAATTGTGCTGCTATGAACATAGGGGTGCCCAGGGTGGGAATGGCTTGGGGGGGAGGGATCAATTGGGGAAAAAGGAGACATATGTAAAACGTTAGACAATAAATAAATTTTAAAAAAGATGATGAAGAATTCACATAATATTACTTCATTTATATAAAGTTGAAAAATACCATACACAAAAACAAACTCAAAATGGCTAAAGGACTTAAATGTAAGATGGGAAACCATAAAAATCCTACAAGACTCCATAGGCAGCAAAATAGCAGACATATGTCGTAGCAATACCTTTACCGACACGGCTCCTAGGGCAATGGAGACTAAGGAGAAAATAAACAAATGGGACTACATCAAAATAAAAAGCTTCTGCACAGCAAAAGAAACCATCAACAAAACAAGAGAGCCCACTGCATGGGAGAACATATTTGCCAATGATATTTCAGATAAGGGTTTAATCTCCAATGTTTACAGAGAACTCATACGACTCAATAAAAGGAAGATAAACATTCCAATCAAAAAATGGACAAAGGATCTAATGGACAATAGACACTTTTCGAAAGTGGACATAGAGAAGGCCCAGAGACATGAAGACATGCTCAAAGTCACTAATCATCCAAGAGATGCAAATCAAAACAATAATGAGGTACCATCTCACACCTGTCAGAATGGCTATACTCAACACATCAACAATGACAAGTGCTGGAGAGGATGTGGAGAAAAAGGAACCCGTG